ATTCGATAAGCACTTGGCAACATGTAATTGGTTGCTATCCCAGTGACCAATCAATAAATGCATATGGAGTATCGATTCAATCAAACACACAGGCACAAAACTCAAGTTCATATGCAATATAAGCATATGCAAATTTATACAACAACTGTCATACTAATACAAACAAGCAAATATTTCAGGTATAGAATACAAACTGAGAATTTGTATACCTGAGGACACGCGCACATACACATACACTCAAGTAGCACGATGTGGTATCTCATCGCGATTACAATAAATCAATAGTTGTGACCTACAAACGATAGATCTGTGTAAGTCATTCATACATTCTACACATATCACATCTAAAAAGTGAGGAGACCGATACTTAAGTGTAACAAATAAGCATTACATTTTAGCAAAGCTCAATTATTTTTGCTTAAAAACACATTTAACAGCAACCATTTCTAAAACATGATACCAATTAGGGTGGAATCCATAATGTGCGTTTCATTCTATTTGGGATTCACTGCCTCCTACTGAGTGATGTTGTTCCCATTGGGACCCGGACTCAGAACTGGTCGTTTCAAACGCCAGGGAGTTATCCACTGGACTACCAAGTCACAAAACAAGAAGCAACATTATACAGGGAACTAACTACAAATACACAAGGAAAACATAAATAGTGGAAATGATGATGATGATGGCACGTCGATGTAGACGGTGGCTCAGTATGTCAGTAAATGAAGGTTCACAACTTTATCGACTGACTTGCCTATCTTTTTTATTACCCTTCGCCTGACCTGATCACATAGTGATTTCACCAAACATGAGCAATTCGATGAAGACATATATGATCGAAAACCTCCATCCATCCAAACCAACCTAGGACCAGGCATTACTGCGTAACGGTTCGAGTTGCCGCCACACCTCATATCAGTACATCAAGTAAAAAGGCAGTGAGGTGCAAGATGAAGATGAGGGAATGCAGCTATCGGCCGGGGATCGAAAACCTGTAACCGCTTCATATCTTTACTGTCTATGTCTCATAACTGTATAACACATGGTCGGATATTTATGTTGCTCAGGAAAGTTCAAAGCTTTAAAGAGAATAGTGAGTCTCACATTCAAATTCACTCAATCAGTTTACAAACTTTGTATTAGCTTACTGCTTATAGATACAGATGCACGTTGAACTTTCTTTCAGTTTGAAGTGTCACTAAGTTGAGTTAGAGATTTGAGGGAGATATCGATTGGTCAACACGCTTAAGTTACAGATATATCAAAGTCTAAGATTCTACTGGATACTTTCTTTCGCGTCAATTTGAAAGTTGTACTTCACTTCTAAGTCGATATCCTCTGATTACTCATCACTTAGGTGTTGAACATTCCACTAGTCATTAACTGGTTGCTACAGAGTAACTAACTTTATGTCGCCTGGTCTTAAGTACTCATCGAATTCTTCAGTTGGTATTCATCATCGACTGACAGCAGTTGGAGGGACACTGGACAGCTGTTTCGTCCTAGTATGGGACTCTTCAGCAGTGCACATTCACACCATCGCAAAGGGGTCGAACCCGCGACCATCAGTTTCCGTGGCTCATAGTGGGGTCGTGGGTGCGCACTGTTGAAGAGGCCTATACTAGAACGAAACAGCTGTCCATTGCTCCCACATTTTTAAAATGTTCCACTAACTGATATCAGTTCATGATGAATACCAACTGGAAAAATCTCTAAATGCCCACAAAAACCCAAATTCATCGAATTCTGTTAATCGATTTATAATGTGGTCATCACGCTAGAAGACTCAATATTATGGTAGCTTAGATGGTGTCAAATAATCAACAGAAAGACCTGGTTGGCCCGGTTATCGCACTTGTTGACACTCATTAATAAAGCATACTTGCTTTTTTACGAAAATTCCTCAATACCGTTGTTAACATAACAATAACGGTATTGGATGGGGGTCACGTTATATGGCGAAATGAAAAGGCTATGAACTGCTGAATTCTGACAAATTTATTATTAGTATTATTTGTCCCTTGGATTCCTAGTGGAACATAGAGCTTCAGTTGCACGTCTACACTTCACCCCTACTCACTAGTCTTCTAAACCTGGCCCCACCACTGCCCACAAGCTTCCATTTCCTTCTCACACTATCTCCATGTCACCCTCGGACGCCCAACTCATCGTTTCCACTTTCGGTTCCTTCCACTGGAGACCATGGCCTGGCGTGTGATGTCCCCAAACCGTCTTCTCAGGGTAAGTTCAATCCAATCTATTTCCACATTCTCCTTCTGCATATTTGTTGGGCGATGAGTTCTTGCTTTATTTGTTTCCAGGCCACAGTTCCTCCTTGCTTATACTTTCTTGCCTTCTCATCTAATCTGATCTTCAGTGTGGAGTGAGCATAGGCGGAAGCTGTTGATGTATGTCTGTAGTTTGTTGGAAATGCTTTCCGTGACGCGCCAAGTTTCTGGACCATCACACTAATGCACTGACGTGTCTGAATTCTTGTTGAAAATCCGGATATTGTTATTTATGCTGAGTGGAGTGCAGTAGATCTGCACAGATTGATGAAGGCTTGTCATGCTGCTTTTCTGATTCTGGTTTTGACAACCTCAATTGTGGCGCTACTTGTAGTTGAGACGATACTGTCTCCTAGGTAGGTGTAGGTGTAAGTGACTTTCTTTAGGTTTCTCCACTTCGAAGTGATTGGTGCCTGTTGTCGATCTTGTTGTTGGTTGGGTATCTTCATCACCTCTGTCTCCCCTACATTCACTTGAAGTCCTGTCTTCCCTGCCTCGCCTCTTCCGTCAACTTGTTCCTTCAATGATAACGTGCCGACCACAAGATCTGAAGTTGCTCAGCCCGATCATTGGCCATGTGCACATTGTTGATGAGTTCTACACCACGACAGCAGTACAGTACTCTCACATGTTCAGTGATTCTGTAAGTGATGTCAGTCTGTGATGAAGACCAACAGACCCAACCAGCTTACCCCTGTTATAGTGTCTCTACTTCGTAAAAAACCCCAAATCCCTGAAGCTTTTTATAACCAATCATGTTCCATCGATGTCTCGAGAGAAAGAACATGCACCACAACATGTAAATATCAGATTGGTTGAAGAAACAAAACATCAATAGGATTTTCAAATCTAGAAGGGTCTGGAATTGGTCAAAGTCAGTGTAAATATATATAAACTCTTGTGCTTTGTATCTGTGTTTGATGCTACAATACATCTTCTGCTTTCCTACCACCCTTTCCATTTATTGAGAAGGTGAGAGACTATCAAGGGATGCAATCTGAAGGTTATTGTACAAGCCTAAATCTATATACAACTGAGGTTATATCATGTAGTCGGTACAAGGTTATAACAAGCGGCGACAGGTAAAAAAAAACTGACAACATGTTACCCTATGAAGAATTTCAAGCATTTTTTTTGAAAAGTTATGAAGAAAGAATAAAAGCAGTAACACTGAGAATGACTGAAAAGTTCAATCGACATTAAACATAAATCATCGGCGAAATCCAAATCTACTAGGCTCTTTTCATCAGTCTCGCTCCTCATTGTTTGTTGCATGATCCATTCCACCACAATCAGGAAGATCATGGGTGATAGTAGGCAGCCTTGTCTTACTCCTGTCTTTACTTCAAAGGCGTTCCATTGTGGAACATATTTTGCAGATATTTATCGATTTGAACCACGGAGGTCAAAGTTCATCAAATACTCTTCTTCTAAGTATAAGCAATACATTCCGCTCACTACGAGGCTTAATTCAGTTACTTCATTTTAAGATCATTGATGAATAATTTTTCACATAATCCTGCCAAAGGTTGAAAATCTATCAAGATTGGGGAGGGTGGTGTTATAGTGTGGAATAAAATTGCCGTGATCTTCATCAAAAGCTTTACAACCAATCATGTTTTATCGAAGTCTTCAGAGAGGAAGCACGTGAACCACAACGTGTAAATGTCAGATCGGTTAGAGAGACAAAAAAATCAATTTAGAATAGGCCTGAAACTAATCAAGGCTATTGTAAGTATATATTTTTCACGTTGCAGTATAATGAGTAACCATTATACGGATCCGCTTTGATGGTTATTGTACATGATAGGTTATAATCAAATAGTCACAACAAGGTAATAACAGTACTCAAAATTGAATTCCCATTTGAGAAAAACAATGGGCTCACAAACAGGTACTATGCAACACACCATATATCAATAGACTGAAATAATGGCTAAAATATATATTTTTTTATTTTGTGTTATATATTGCTAAACAAATGGGAGCGTATATGTTACTGTAAGATATCTAAAACGAAGAAGAGATGGGGTGGCGGCGGCGGGGGGGATAAGAGAGTAACAACCAGTAAGCGAATAGATGAATGCCAATCAGCGTAGAGGTAAGCAAAATACCGAGTACGTAAGATAGAAAGAAAGCCTATACGGCGCGAGAAAAGAAAAACCAACGCTGAGACAAACAACTACACGAATCAGTAGATAGATTAGTAGATAGATAGGTGATAATAAACGCTGTTTACTTCCAAAAAAAAAGAAGAAACTGTACTCGAATATTTCACCTCTCATCAGTCAGTGAAACACAACTTTATCATGAAACCAGAAGGAGAACGAACCAAGGCAAGGCAAAATGAACCAACTGTTTCATGTTAAATAAAACAATGAGCAAGTAAGGGGGTAGGGTACCATCAATTTATCCATAATTTGTAAGCAATACGAAGTTTGTGAATATGAAAAATACACACTTGTATATCAATTTCTGTTATTAACAGGGGGAAAAAAGCAATTGATGAACAAGTACACCTCTTGACATCAAGTTCTAATTGTGTGTTGTATCTATGAGATATAAAGATACTTGCTAAAAAAGAAATCAACAATAACAGTAACAACAAAAACGAAATTAACTTTCATATACTACTTATATTGGATGTTGAAAGTAGGTAGGTTACACAGATTGAATTGAACACACGGTTCACCAACACACACCAAAAACGCCTCAGTGAAATGATCTAAGGCACAGAAAAATATCAGGGGGGGGAGGAAAGAAACAAATTACGTTTTATAATACCACTACAAAATGACAGTAATACACAGATAGAGAAAATCAACAAAGAACTTGGTACATAACCGGATCACAACAAGTTGCAATATTTCACACCAGTGTGCACAAAGAACCGGTGGAGATAAAGGTGAGCGCAAATAGTCAAACTTTGCAAAACGCCGAGGAGTGAACACATCTGAGCCATCTCACCAGGAGATAGTCTAGGGATCCTAACCAACATGACTCATACCAAGAGAGTTAAGAACTTTATCGACTAACCATTCTGAACACCATTTAAACTTAATCAAACTTTATTGTTGTCGTTTGCATTATACCTTCGTTGATTGGACTGAATTGATCGTTCTCTATTGGCACATGGGCTCCTACACGGACGCCACGATACCGCCTGTGTTTGAATTATATGACATTAAAACTATACCCGTAGCACAAGAAGTGGCTATCATGACTCGGTGGTCTAGGAGATAATGCTCTCGAGTTTGAAGCGACCGGTCGCCAGTTCCAGTCCTAGTGGGAACAACATTGCTGCTCACTGGGAGGTATCCATCCAACTTCCCCTAACATTGATATATGCATGAAGATCGCGGTATATATATATACATATATATATAAATTTATAAACACAATGGGATATGACGTAATCATTGATGCAATGTTTAGGTTTGTGGTGAAGTATGTGTTTTATTTTTCCCACAGTGATAAGATTAACTGCGTAATAAGTCTTCTTAATGACTGATGTCAGCCTACGTCTCAAAATGATACCATTCAACTCTCCTCTGTATAGTAGACTGATACCGACGCTTTTCTTAGAAACCCTGTATAGAGTTGCCTTCGTCGCTACCTGACTTCTACAGCGGTTTATAAACTTCAAGGTATATTCATTTTCTATAAGCGATTTGGTCATTAATTTGATATCTTCATCTATCAAGCACTAGATAGTGGTCTATCTAGTGCAAGGAACATACCATCCAAATCAAGTTGAAAACCTTCACAGAAGTTGGTGATAGACCACAGTTCAAGTTCAACACTCGGAACAGAAAATGAAGGACAAAACTACAAGGCACATCTTCACGTCAGCCATCAAGACAAAATGGGAGATGTCGAGGAACATCCCTGAAGAAACCTGTGTGGATGAACACCGGAATTCTTTAAAAGAGATGTGGAAAGAAACCTGCATAACCAATATTAGGAAGGAAGAGGAAACAAGATAAAGAATGGACCCCTCTCTTCTCTCGATGAAAGCGAAAGTAAACATGGGGACATGGAATGTCCACACTATGTTTGAACCTAGCAAGGCTGTCTAGATTGCAAATGAGATGAGAAAGTATACCATTGAAGTGCTAGGAATCTGCGAAAGCAGATGGAAGTGGAAGCGGACTCTCTAAACTGTCAACTAGAGAGTCGATAATCTACTCCGATATTGTCACCCAGACGACAACCATTAGCACACTGAGTTTTCAAGTGGCTATCATGATGTCCCCTTGAAAGGCATCGAAGGCTCTCATACAGTGGGAACCAATCTCTTCCTGCAGGATCACCACAGCAAGGTCCAACTCAAAGGGAAGGAAAGTCACAATCGTACAATGCTACACACCTAACCCTAATATGATGATAAAACCTCTATAATAAAATATCAAAACTTAGAGAACACAATAATCTCGCCTGGTTAACTAGTTCGCTAGTTACTAGTCGGTTCTAAGCCCACATAAAGAGGGAAGGTTGGGCATAAGGTTAGCAACCCTACCCCTACCCTGGAAAAACCTATCCAATCGCTACAGAAACTTCAAAGCACACACTAAAATATAAAGAATAAAAACAAACTTATTCCTCGCTGGAATAATAATAATAATAAAAATAATAGAGAACACAATGGTTATTGTTGTGTCACTCACTTACTTTGTAGGAAAAAGATCTACTGGAAAAAGTCTAACCTTCGATACATTTTATTCTAAAAACTGGCAGTTTCACTTTCATACTGATTATATCATTTGTGAAACATTAGAGATTTTGTTTTTTTTTGATAGATTAAAACAAAAATTTTGTATTTCTTACCCAGTTCCTTTAACAGCGATCACTTTCTGGATTCGATTTCAACAAGGTGGTTCGCTCTTCTTCACGACGACGTTTCGCTTGAGCTCGTTCATAAATAAGTATTATTATGCCAAGTACCACAAGTTCAACAATAATTCCAATAAAAGGCCATAACGGAGCCAATTTACCTATGAGAATTTTTAACAACAACAGTACATAGAAGTTACCACATCAGTACATCAGGTAACAACGCAAGATGGGGAAGAAGGAATAATAAAATGATGAGATTAAGTATAGTGGTTAAGATAAGGATAATGTGCAGATATATCTGCGCCACTGATATCCGTTCTCAGCTATATCACCTAGAGTCAGTCTCCAACCACTAGTTCCTCTTGTCCCGCGGACCCCATACAGTTCAAAAATAACCTGGAAGACGGTGACTAGGCATGCATAACACATTCCCAAGCCAGCCATCTTAGTCGATGAAGGTTCACGATCACATCAACTGACTTTTCTTTCCCGCCTAGAACTTAACACTTGACTTCTGCTTTGCTGACATGGTGACATGATACACGGTTTATGCTATGAAGGCAACGGTGGTCAAACGCCTGAAGCCTACACATGTCCTCCACCTTTGACGGCGTGTCATCAACATAGCTGACATAATCCCATACTGAGAGTCATTAATCCAAAACCTTTAGACTAAGTCAAGGATAAGATGAAGAACTATATCAAATTTCCCTTAATCATGACAGAATTATTGAGTTAGTCAATAGAGACATATAAACCGGCATATTAGGATGAAGATAATATATGGATGCATTTGAGCAATATCCCCCAAGGTCTCCCAACCCCCGATTTCACATGTCACGCGAACATTAAACGAGAAGTCTACATTCTTCTTGGATAGCTCAGCCAAGAACTTCATCAACTGATGTCACGCCACCCACCACCCTCGCCGTTTAACCATTTTTCCAACTCAACTTCCACCAAAATTCCATGTCGGCAAAGGCGGAGACAGATAAAATCAACGTAGAATCTTGAACACAAGTCTATCAGTTCAAGTTGTTACACTTGTAACAGTAGTATACAAACGATAAATGGGTCGAAAGTTCACATCTTCTCCACGCGGCTAATACCAACAGTCAAGGACTTCATCGACTGGTACCACGTCTTAGTTTGCTCCAACCCTGTGCTTTCTTTGAACCTAATCCAACTTCCCTTATCATGGTATGTCAAAGTAGGCGGTGGCTCAGTATGCGCAACAGATATCCCAACCATCACAATCGATGAAAGTTTACAATCTCATCAGACAACTTACCTCTACACCTAACGCGAAAATGATTAACATGGTGGCTTTATAGAATCCATAGTTAATACTTTACTCTTCAGCAGTGCGTACTCACAAACCCCCAAATTCAACTGAACTAGTGCTAGTTGGTGACTAGCTTCAAGAGGTGATTCCAGAAGTTCCAGTGACAAGTCGAAACCAGTGAGGGAAATCTGGTGAAGGTGAGGACAAATGCTCAAAAATGACACTGGGTGGCGGTCGCACTATGTTATGAACTGATAGAACTTGGAAATATGAACCACTGGATTCCGACCCAGTGATTAGCTCAATGGTAAAGTGGTGACCACCAAACTTGACGGTTGCGGGTTCGATCTATGGTGGGATCATGGGTGTGCACTGCTGAAGAGTCCCATACTAGGACGAAACAACTGTCCACTGCTCCCAGGTCTGTTTTCAATGTTCCTCGAATTCACATCAGTCCGTGATAAATACTAAACTTGAAAAATACAGAATATAATTATCCTGAATAAGAAAATAAGCCTCACTTTTAATACGAACTTCTAATAATTGGTTATCTGTTCCCAAGTTTGAGGTAGCAGTGCATAAATAGAATCCAGTAGAATCTGAAGCATCTTTCCATTCCATTATAGCACCATTAGTTTTCCCATCTGATTTTAAAATAGCCTAATAAATAGAGAATTATGACAACAATGAACAGTAAATATCACAAGCAAGCAAACAAAAAAATTGAGGCTGTTATAGAGATTAGACATTTAGAGGAGTTGGACAGCCCAAAAGTTGACCATCTACGCCGTGAATACCTTTCTGAAGTTGTGGTTCATTTGATTTAAGGGCAGTTGACTTTCAGTCAATGGGTCACGGATTCGAACCCCGCGCCACATCGGTGTCGCTTGCTGCTATCTACCATACTTCAATGTACAAGGTTATTGAGTGCGCTTCAGTTTTAATTTGACCAGGTCTCATCTATTTCTCCACAAGCATAAACTTTTCTCATCATCTTGGTGATTAGCGGAGGAATCGAGGACGTACAGGATGTAAAAACTATAACATCATTAAAAAAACCATACTATTCCTGTCTCACAAGACGTGGCTATCTTGTCTCAATGGTTTAGTGGATAATGCTCTGGCATTTGAAGTGAAGGGTACTGTGGTCAAGCCTCAGTGGGAGTAACATTACTCATTGGGGTGCACATACACCCAGCTGACGAGCCCCAAATACAACGAAACGCGCATCCTGGACTCCCCTGCTAGTCAATATAACATCATGAATATCTGGCAGTATCGAGTCATCCGCATAGGAGCCTATTTGCCAGCAGCAGAGGTCAAGCAATTCAGCCTTGTATATCAACAGGAGATTACAAGTATTACCACATCAATCCGCTTAAATTGCTCCATTGAAACTTTGAATGTTGAAATAGAGGAGAATATTTGTAGCTCAGGTAGATGGTTTTGGTTGTATTGTGTTCTCTGAGTTGGGTTGTTTAATCGTGGAAAAGCCTTCATCGTCTTTCTCCTAGACGATATCATCAGCATTAACTTCACTATGAAGGGAGCTGTCACAATATCTCTCCGTCAGTGATTCAGTAAGTAGTTTGCTCTGATGAAGTGGTTTTTGATTGGTTGTTTCCTTTGATCATTGTATCATTAACCGACTGACTGCTTAGATTTTCCTGTTGGTTGTTCCTCTCCTTCACCTCTCACCTTTCTGTCGTTTATCATTCGTCTCATTAGTTGATAGTTTGGATCCATGTCTACACATCTGTTGACTGCTGACTGATCTGAATGCCAAGCTTCTAGGAATTCTCTGATATTCTTTGTGTTTCCTCTCTCCATCACAGATTTCTACATTGTCGAGATTGAATTCATGTCCACAGTTGTTATCCACGTGGATTGAAATGTGTGATGAAATGTCGTGACGTTCATGTAGACAAAGGTGAAGGTGGGCGACCACTTTGTCCAATGTAGTGTTGACTGGAATAACTGGAGTCAACACTACATTGGACAAAGTGGTCGCCGACCTTTACTTTCGTCTTCATGAGAACACCAATTGGCTAGTAAACATCATACACGACATTTCATCACTCGTCGCTCAATGTGCGTGGATAACAACTATGGACATGAATTCAATCTCGACAATGCAGAAATCTGTGATGGAGAGAGAAAACACAAAGAATATCAGAGAATTCCTAGAAGCTTGGCATTCAGATCAGTCAGCAGTCAACAGATGTGTAGACATGGATCCAAACTATCAACTAATGAGACGAATGATAAACGACAGAAAGGTGAGAGGTGAAGGAGAGGAACAACCAACAGGAAAATCTAAGCAGTCAGTCGGTTAATGATACAATGATCAAAGGAAACAACCAATCAAAAACCACTTCATCAGAGCAAACTACTTACTGAATCACTGACGGAGAGATATTGTGACAGCTCCCTTCATAGTGAAGTTAATGCTGATGATATCGTCTAGGAGAAAGACGATGAAGGCTTTTCCACGATTAAACAACCCAACTCAGAGAACACAATACAACCAAGACTTTGAATGTTTTATTATAAAGGTCACAATTATTATAGAACATAAATAAACAAATCCAAATTTGCTGTAATCCTTTAGTTAATTTCATTTGTCATAATGAAACCATTCCACCTAACAAGGCGTGTCTTTTCTCTTTTCATATCAGTTCAAATTGAATTATAGAAGGGAATTAAGGTCACCCGTTATTCACATACATACAAGATTGATTGGTTGATAGGCAGCAGATACACCTGCTATATGATACACTAGAGAATAGTAGTTTCACTGGTAAATTTGACACACTTTGATTAGGATCAAATGACCCCTGCATTCTAAGCGAACAACGGATGGAGGTAGGTGTTAGGATACAAACAAGGTAACAAGAGTAGGTTGAATTTTTTTAAAAGAACCAAAATAATAATCACCTATGATAATGTTGACGCTAATAATCTATGACATTTCTTTAAAAACATCCCGTTTTATAGTCTTCATACTCAATTCCTACCCAATGGGTCGTGGGTTAGAATCCCGGTCTGTCCATCGATTGAAGTCTGTGCAGTCAGGTAGTATAATAAACTCTCCTTACATAATAGGTATGGCCTACTGTCAACTGCACAAAGGACCATGTGGTTGCTGAATGCTATTCCAACTTGAGTCATCATAGACAATCCTCAGTTTATTCAACTTAATTCCACTTGACTTCATTACACAATCTTTAGTCATCATATTTCCATAAGATGAGTAGGTATTCCTCCTGAAAATATTGCCAAGTCATTTGAAGGTTTGTGAAGGATTTTATCTATTTAAATTGACAATAGTTAGGAAAGTATTGAAAACCTAACAGTTCTGATGAGAAGTTATGACTACTAGGTGGAAACCAAGTCAGATATAAGGATAGTTACTCAGTGATGGTACTGGATGGAGATATCGTTATGCTGTGAATTGACAGATTCCGACTTAGCCGTTCAACGGTAACAGATTCGCCAAGGAGTTTGGATAATGCGGATTCGGGTCCTGACGGTGTCAAAGGTGTTCGCTGCCAAAGAGTCTTGTACTGGGACGAAACACCCGTTAAGTGCTCCAAGGTTTTCAATGGCTCTCCAATTGATCTCATTTCATGATGAATACTGTTTTGTAGTTTGGAGGTTAAACATGTGGAATATGATGGGTCCACATAATCTCAAGGTTACATAATAGATATTACTTTAGACAAGTTCATCGAAGGATCTGAGGAGTTGGTAGTGTGAAATCTTAAAAATATCTTGCTCAACTGAATACTTAAAAAAAGGTAGATACAGAGTAGGCTTACATTGGTTACTGAAAGCAACTGACTACCAGAACTACTGTCTTTACTTTCAACAAGACGTTTCCAAGTAACTTGATGTGGTGCCGGGAAACCATCAACTTCGCATAGAACAGATAGTGGACTGCCTTCATGACCACGAACTGCACTGAATCTCGATCGGATCACAGGTCCAGCTAAAATTAGACAAAACAAGAGAGAGAGAGAGAGAGAGAGAGAGAGAAACAGCTGCGAAAAGGAAATTTATGAACAACTCAGATAAAGATATTTTGTGAAAAATACCATCGGTACATTAAACCCATATACACTGCTTGACAAGGTAAGTGAATGAGAAATCAGTAAAGTAAGTAAGTTTTCTTAACAACCTTGTTCATATTTAAGCAACGGTCAATAATATTACCTGGTGGTCCAAACCTTGGGGCTTGGCTGGCTTTTGCCAACTTACGCCACCTGTGGCGTCACCATCATATCCGATTGCCTATTAAGGGTAGCCTGTACTGCACAGCAGTCCAATCTGTTCTATTGTATGACTGTGAAACATGGCAATTGGGGGTGGAAGGCAAGACAAGGCTTCAAGTGTTTGACCACCGTTGCCTTCGCAGTATAGGCCGTATCCTATGGTGTCATCACGTAAGTAACGCAGAAGTCAGAAGTAGAGTTTTAGAGAGAAGAGGTAAGTCAGTTGATACGGCTGTGAACCTTCATTGACTGAGATAGTTGGCTCAGACATGTGTTACGTATACCTAGTCGCTGTCTACTTCGTCACACAATGTTGGCTGAAGTAGGTGCGGGCTGGAAAAAGGCTCGACGCCACCAGACTAAAACATAGCATCAGTGAATGAAGTCTTTAACTGTTGGTTTGAGCCATATGTGGCGGGACAAGAGGAATCAGTGACTGTAGACTCTAGGTGATATGGGTGAGAACCGATGTCAGTGGCGCAAATGTATCCCCATACACATTATCCTCATCTTAACGCTATACCATTATTCCTTTGTCTCTTTTGGTACTTTATATTTCTTTTGACTGAATTTTCTCATCTTCATCTTCCACTTCACTTGATGTACTGATATGAGCTGTGGCAACTCGAATTGTTACGCAGTAATGCCTGGTCCTATGTTGATTTGGATGGACGGACGGGGTTCGAACCCTAGGCCCACTAATTGAAAGTCGACTAACTGAACTAATGATCCAAAGATTCACTGAGAGATCAGTAGTTATTTGAAGTTCATATAAGCTGTTCATGAGAAATTTTCAATCAATGTTTATTCATCTGATAAATTAGAAAAGCGAATATAGGGTGAGGTATGCCAGTCGGAATGCTAACTGCTGTCCTGAAAAGATTACTTCTATCACTTATCTATAGATAGAAGGAAGTAATATTATGGTCTTGAGCAGACAGACAGACAGAAAAAATCAACGTAGAATATGGCACACAAGTGTATCACCACAGATTGCTACACGCAACACCAAAATACAAAGAACAGATGGATAAAAAAGTAGTGTGTAGTGTGACAGAATAAAAAGTTTGAAGATAAAGGTTAGTGAGAATGTTCAAATTTCAGAAGATGTTAAAGAGTGAACACATTTGCACCATTGTGACCGGTTTTCAACTATGTCACTAAGAGTCCTCAAGCACTGATTCCTTTCGTCTCGAGGACCCCAACCAGGGAGTCTACATCACCCCACATGGTTAAGACCGACAGTTGGAGACTTCATCGACTGGTGACCCATCTTGGTCTGGCCACCCTGCGCCCCCTACCAACCTAATCCAACTAGCATGGCTCGTCGAAGTAGGTGGGGGCTCGACATGCGCAGTATATGCCCAAACCATCTCAGTCGACTGACTTGTCTGTCTTGCCTAGTTTCCTTTCCTCTGACGCCTACATAGCTCACATGCTGATTCCATTAAATGCAAGCAATGCTACAAAGACACCTGTGGTTAAAAACCTATAGTCTAAGTAAAGTTTAACGTCTTTTTGGACGATTAGGTGTTAGAAATAAAGCAGTTTGCAAATATTGATTAACGAATGAAATCGAATAATGTTTCACATTACTTTTTGTCATTTGACACACAATAGAAGTGCAATTTAGTTTACTTCACTGAGTGGGCTCCGTCTCAAATCGGAACAGATAGCATACACCACAAAACGGTAATAATTAGAAGCCGTGTATGTCTACTACACAAAGCCAGAAGTTTAAAGTCTATCCTATCACTTTAAATAGGTAATGAATATCGGAATAACTCTTTTCTTGTTGGAAACCAACAGATTCGCATAAAACATTTTTAAATCGTCGTTTTCGCGCCATTTCTACGACATAGCCAATAGTTCATTGCCTACACCCACCATTTTCAAGGCCATCCGTTGATTGGTTAGCGCCTGCTTTTACTGTTTTAAATTCTGGACAAGGTCATATGTCATTTATATATACGTTTGTGGGTTGACTGACTCTTCTTCTTGGAGGTAATAAACTCTCCTACCCAGTACAGCTTTCTCTATTTCCTTCGGGGTTGGAGTTAGTGGATCTTCTGTACAATGTTAACTTGCAGTCAAGAGTGAGTATTATATCCTCTCTGAGTGTATAACATTTCTGTTGTACACGCAGAAATTAAATAGAAAAATATATACACATGTATATAACAAAAACTCAAACAGCATCGCAAAAAAGCATCCAATGAAATAACTGGAACTAAACTACGAAAGAAAAAAGAGAAACCATAAAACGTAGAAACATAACCACATACTTTACAGGAGTAATATGATTCTAATTTTAGCGAATGACAGCAGAGAAAACAACACCGATTGATGTTTTACCATTACTATTTCATCGATAATATAAAAATGAATAGAAATACTCCTTATATTTTAGAGAAGTATTTATCACAGAATAATATCAGGTGGAAAGAGAGCACTGGAGAGTTGTTTTGCCTCAGTGTACGGACTCCTCAGTAACAAGCATTCATAAACCCCAAACTATATTACTATATAGTACTCATTAGTGACACGGTTCGAGTTGGATATCCTGAAGTTCTAATGAGAAGCTTTGATGTATGGAATCAACCATTCGGAAGTGAAGCAGATGCTGCCTTATAGCGCAAATCGAGAGAAGTAAGAAACTCTGGACAATCAGATTCCGACCCAGTGGTTGAATGGTTGACGCGTTCGCCATGACACACCCTGATAGGATTGTAGGTGCGTACTGTTGAAGAGTCCCATTCTAGGACGAAACAGGTGTCAAGTGCTCCCAGTCTGTGATGAATACTACCTCAAAATTAAAATCCCCATCAACCTCAAGTGATAATGACTAATGTCAATGGTATGGGCATATATATACACAGACAGAAATATGCAGAAAACCCAATAAACATATGAGATATAAAACTTACATCTAACTGAACAATCACCAACATGTTGATTGCCATCTTTACTGTTCACCGTAAGAGACCAAATGCCTGTAACACGAGCAGCTAAGTAAGGATTAAATCATATGCTGAACAATTCGATTACTTGGCATTTTAATGTGTAGTGTGATAAAGAGTATAGAACCACGTTCCTCAGTTGTATAGTATACATCTTGACTGTCGCTATCACCGATATTTATGATAACATCATTATGTTTCCATGTTAATGTATCAACCTAAGAGATAAGGTTCAAATGTAAGTATGTGTAAAAATGTCCAAACATCTATTTTTCTTCCATCACCGAACACTTTGAAAACTACAGCTGCAGGAACAGATTTGTCAACAACTGCTTTTTTATAAGATATTCCATGTTGATTAACATCCTCTAAAACAACTTCCAATTTTACGCTCTTCTCGCAATCAACTGTAAAACGTTTCACAATATACAAAACGAAAAAAAAAGAACAAGAACAAAAGCTACAATAGACGAGAACAATCAACCAAATAAAGGTAGTAAACACTTAGGGGTAACAAATTTGTTACTAATGCCTATATCCTTAACATTAATCATTTGCATTGATTAGTCACAGGAGAGCAACTAATTTCATGTTGTCTTGTCCAGAGTGCGGACCGAATCCTATCGATCATATTTTCATCACGTCCACTAAGCTAGGAGGAACAGCATCTAGGTGCACATTAGTAGATGTTAGTTGATTGGAGGCACTTGTCAGTAAGGTGTATATCTGCAACCTTGATGGAACTAATATCCCGCCTTAGATCCGAACCCATATCACCCAATGTTATAGTTAGTGATTTCACCACTAAGCTATTCGGTCTGCACTCCGGACTAGACAACATCAAACTGATTGCTCTCCTGTGACCAACCAATGTGTGTAACCCAGTCCTACAGCAGGTCAATCGCGGCCGGAATAGCTCAATGGTAAAGGCGCTGACTACGACACTGGATGATGCGACTTCGAATCTCAGGCGATACATCAGTCCCGTCGAGGTTGCAGATATGCCTTGTTGACGAGTGCCAACAACCACGAAACCTAGGTTCAGGGCTTCCTGAAGGTTACCCTCAACCAACTAACATATACTTACCATTTGTATATCATGAGCTGTTTTTGTTCGGGCTCTTCTCGCGCACATGGGTCACATTTATTATAACTGGCTACTGTTTTGATTGCCTTCTGACTATTTAAATGTACTAATTATTCCTTGTCTTCCAAGGTTATTGTAAGCTCCATGAGTAAGGCCCACTTTTACCAATGAATGTTTTCAGTTCGAGACACTATAAATTCAGTTGATGACCAGTTTTATGATTTCGCTCTTCAAATCCCTCGGATTGAACAGTCTTCATCCTCAACTCTCAATTGTTAATTATCATCGTTCGTTCTCGCAACTTCGCATATTAACATAAACCACTACGAATTAAAGATGATAGATATAGTGTTCCGTTCTGAGTGGTTTCAGTAACAATCAATTTTTAGGTTCAAATTCTATTAAACATAAGGGTTTAGGCCACCTGATAGCATTATTAACCTTAAACATTAGATGAGGTTGGCTAAAGCTGTATAGGCGATTAAGGATGAGAACTTATAATCCACTGTTCAAAAAACTCACATTTAAAAAATGATGAGCTACATCTACACGGTATAGATGACCTATCTGGTCCCTAATGCATTGTTGGTAAAGCAATGAACATTTATCTACTATGTTTACGGTGTCTTGTGCATATTTGGCATATCATCTTTCTTAATGTGTACTGCTAACAAGGATGGGACACAACCCATGCAAGAATGGTTAGACCTAGATATAAAATAACCAGGAAAATGTCTGTTAATCAGGATCAACTATGAAACTGTATGGCGCCAGGTTTGAGTCTGCAAACAGGTGAATTCAATGGTTGCAGATTTTGTATGGAATTAACAACATGCTCTAGATAGGGTGATAAGATAAACAAGCATAATCTATCCTAGCCACCTCACCCTATGTCCTGATCGCTGCATTTTTCACATGGATGTTTTTATCATACTCTACACTACTCCCACTTGACGCTGCTGCCGTAGAAAAGCTAGGAAGTTAGAAAAATTGCTTCCATTTAAAAGCCTACAGAGCGAAAGTCAGTAGGGGTTGATGTCAAAATACAATATAGGCAACTGTACTGAAGGAAATAGAAACCAATGAACAGTGAGCTACTGAAATTTTAGGGAAGGATACGCATTTTGAGCAATCTCCTATTTCGATGTATGACGGTGACTGAAAAAGGAATAGATTAAAAAGAAAAGCCAACGCTAGTCGGACAAGAATATGGTAACAACTTCAGAGATCATAATTCCCCGTAAGCTATATTTGGAGTGAAGACTTCTTGCTTGAGAACTCCACATGATATGAGTAAACATGTTTTTAAGAAATTCGCATTGCCTTGTAAGCTAGCGGAAGTCATCCTCAATCAGTCAGTATTAGCGTAGAACATGGGATTACTGAGTGACAGTCGCTACACCTTAAATCAGTATACAGACGTAGAAGGTAGCAAGATGAAGGGTAGAGAAATTCGGAAGAAAGTAATCAGAAGTGATAGAAAGTCTTAAGCAGACATGAAGGAATGGGACAATAATGAAATTCGGTGTAACGATTGAGAAAATGATGTGTAGATATATCTTTGACACTGACATCGATTCTGAGACATATCACCTACAGTGTACAACCACCAATTTCAGCTGTCACGCTGACCCCAACCGGGAAATTTACACTCCTGTACACGACTCAAGCCAACAATCAGAGATTGCAAGCAGTGATGCTATTTTTTAGTCTGGCCGACAGTAACCCTTTTCTGGTGACAACATGACGCAACCTATGTTACGGAGGCAACGGTAGTCAAACACCTGAAGCCTTTTCATGTTCTCTTCCCTTAATGGAACACAGTACACTTGATCCTTAACCGACAGTCGGACATTGCGGCGGAGCCACACATAGCGTAAGTCGGAGAAAGCTAACTGAGCCTTTTGTATCTGTACAAATACTTAGCTGATCATCAACCCGCCAGGGATGACCCCACTTTCCAAGTAAGTGAATTAGTCAACGCATTGAACAATTCCACTCCCTACTGCTAGAGAGGGCACCACTGAAGACCAGTCCTGGAGCATTAATTTGCATTTGAATGGTAGAGAAATGCATCACAAACACTACCAAATTGCATATTAGGGTGTCCAGAAAACTCTGCATCTAGTCAAGGTCATCATCTGGATACTTTAGGTCTATCAAGAATTCTCAGGTGATAAGACTAATCCATATGTAGTTAAGAGATGAAACCTCCATTAGTACGTCTAAGACAAAATTAAGCAAGAAGAGAGACACTGGATATCCTTGACAGACACCATTGAACGTACACAACTCACCTGATACGTTACTATACGCTCTGAAACGTTCACAGGTGTTAGAATACAGAGCATTCAACGGGAAGATATTCTTACCCTGTACCCTTCCACTGACAAACAGTAATAAAACGCTGGGTTGACAGAGTAAAATGCCACCCATGGATCGAGAAATACAGCCAATTTCGAGCAGCAGTAAGAGTATCTGTGGTCTAACACCTGGTAAAGAATCAAAGACAACTAAGTCTGGAACCTGCCTAGTTTTTTCGTGTTTTTCCAAAGCATCATCTAGACGTCTAGTGATAACAGGACCCAGGATCTTTCAAGCTATTCGTCAGACTGATTTCTCTATAGTCATGACAGGACTTTCTTCTTTTCTTGAAGACTGAGAAAATCAGCGGTTGAAGTCAATCAGAGGGGATCATGAGTGATTCACATACGGTAGATAACAATTAAGTTAATCTAACCGACAATCCTCGACCATCATCGTTTACTACTTCTAATACAAACCATAGGAGTCTGTTGCCCTCCATTCGTTTAGGTCACTTATAACTACTGGTCCAGATGATTGAAAATACAGTTGCTACGATGCCTACACTGATACTTAAAAAGAAAGTCATGTTGGAAGAAAACTAAATGAGATCAGAAAATAGTGCTAATCTATGAAATCATTGATTGTTGGTTTTGTCGACTAATTGAATCAATGATTGAAGACGTTTGATGATAAGACTAAGAACCGATCAAAAAGGTGAAGTAGTGTTCACCCTTCATTAATGCATCAAAGCGTAAACACTTCTGCGCCATTATGACCGATATTCACCGATAACTTGTAGCCTTGAGGACATGAACCAAGCAGTCTACACCTCCTCACACGGCTCAGACCATGTCAGAGGCACAATCGACTGGTTTGACTACTCTAAGCCTCATTCGAACCGAATTTAACTTCGGCTAACATTGCATGCTGAATTCAGCTGTGGCTTGGAAACGTAATGCGCAAGTCAATTCAGCTAGTCGGTTGAGGTCCACATCCTCATCGATCGACTTCCCCTCCTTGCCTAGTATCATTCGCCTAATCTTAATACTCGTTACATGGTGATCCTACTATAGGTGAATAATGCTACAAAGATACCTATGATTAAAAACCTGCAACCGCTTCGTGTCTTCTATTTAAAAAAGTCACGTCTCAGACATATAATAGGATAGGGCGGAATGCAGCATAGTATACCTGTCGTTTAATAAGTATTCGGAAATCTTGATGCTAGAGATGACAGTAGTAGGCTAATCCCGAATGAGCCATCTCTATTTGAGCTGGGATTTTGTCAGCAACCAACCTGTTCGAGCTGATACAACTCCCTAAGTAAGTGAAGTAGGCAACACATTCTACCAATTCACCCGTATCCTGAGGGTGGATGTAGTTGCAGACCAGTCATGAAGTATCACCTTACATTTGATAGGTGTGAAACACATGCAAAACATTATCAGACTTCTTCACAACGTGTTTAGACCTGTATTTTTTTAACCTGAACATAACAGAACAATGCTATTTGCATACTCCGAGTTGATCAGATACCCTCCCTGTGAAGTTCGACGTACTTACCGTCATATCCATTAATACATCTATAATGAAACTAAAAAGGAACGATGGAAGCGGGCATTCCTAGTGGACACCATTAACTTGTCAATGATGACAACTCTCTATAAGCCTTTAGACAGCTAAGTTGGTTCGAGTGGAGAGCTTTGATTAGCGTCCCATACTGGTTCATTCAGAGTTGCTGTTGATGTTTCAGGTGTCTTTCTGTAGACTGCCCCAAACTGCCATTCCAGAAGAAGAAATCTACTCACCAAGCTTGAGCATATTCGTGTAGTAGTTGGCAGTGGACCACACCAATTGTGTGAAGGTTATTGATGATATCATGTGGGTGACTAGATCTCAGTAGATGGGGCCGTGTTCGATGTTATATTTTCGAACGCTAATAGTTATATATTCCGAACGAATATAATACGCACGCTAAGCTGGCAGCTAACTTAGTACGCAAGAGCCCCGGGACGAATAAAGAGGAGACCGAGGCTGGATGATGGAAGAGTTTATTACTCCAAGAATATAATATCAATCTCGAAACACGTGAATAAGTACACACATGAAGAATGACCTTGTCCTCAATTTGAGGCACAGGCGTAGTAAGAGTGAGATTAACCAATCAGCGATTTACATTACAATGTGGGCAGGAAATAGACTACTAGTCATACCGTAAAAAATGGTAAAATCTGGCACTAACATTTTTCGCAAACGAGGTCAACTATGTAACAATATCAACAAACAAGTTAAAGCGTTTCTTTATACACCTCCATACACTAGGCTATTGACTGAACAGACAACAAGAAGTAAAGTAGGAATAAGAGTTGACCAAGGTGAATGACTATCAACTATAGAGTCATAGATCTAAAACAACTTTGTCTAATTCGGTTTGAATAACCGAGCAGTAGCACCCACTGCAGTAAAATAGGTGCAGCTCATAGCTTATATGTAGAGAAAAATAAAAACGGAAATATGTAATTCATTACTATGTATTAAAATCTACCTTTTTAACGACAGGTAGGATCATTTAGCAAATGACAGTGGAGCGTTTTGTAACTGTGGCAGTAAGGAACTCATCATGATGTATAAAACTGATTAGGTAAAACACTAAACGTTATCAATCTTATCGCTCTAGATAAGACTGTCCAACTTAAGGTTATGATCGATGAAAAGAACTCTGTTAGAAGTACATACCGGTAATAGATTTGCTAGTTAATGATCTGGCGGTCGTGTGATAGGCTTTTCCGCTGCATAGTTATGGCACACTGAATCATGCCGACGATCACCAAGTGACTGAGTCTGGGTAACTAGTTAGCATCTAAAGCCCGCAAATATTGCTATTCATAACCTAGTACAACAACTTGAAACATCTTTTTCAGTTAGTTTAGAGAAAAACAAATTCTTTCTAAAACATTGTAAACTGAAGATTTTCACGAGTTTCCGAACTGTGGCTCACTTGTTCAAGCATTCGACTTCAGCCAGTGGGTCATTGGTCTGAACCACGTTTTAGCTATCGGCGTTTGATCAGCCCTGAGTTATCATTAACTCCCATACAATATATGAGACCGACTGCCCAGTGGATGAACCTGTAGGTGGTTGTCAAGTTACATTATGCAACAGACACATTCGATGCTAAATGATGATATTACTAAGGGCTTCACTTAACTGTTGTAAGATTCTTTGTAAGACATTTACCGATGGATCTCAGGTACAGAGGTAGAAAAAACAAGTAATATATTTCAATGAAAACATGCAGACTTATCTACTCAGATGGGTCTGATATGATTTACTTTCCACAGCGTAAACAGAGAAAAAAATTTCCTATGGGTTAGCCAACCAGGGAGCAAATTTATGCATTTGACTATGAATTTCTGTGGATTTTTAATTTAGCTAAAATGGTGCGATTGAGAATATTTAATTTTCTGATATTTCCGAGTCAAACGTTTGAGAAATAACGGTATTTCCCAATAGAGAAACTTACGGTGATGGCCAACGATATTATCAAGTCTTAATAGGTGGATAGTTTCAATCAATGATTCACTAGTTGGAAATCGAGCTTCCGAACCAACGAATCAAGTGATATGAGTAGTAAACTTATAACTTTAATGTGAACTAGAAGAGTTCAAGTGTGAGGGTTACAGCTGCGTTTAGAAGTCTTCCTAACAAGGAAGGACTGACTTACCTAAGCCAAAACCAGGAGTTCATGCTCAGGGTTCATAAGTTAGAAAATTGACATATCTTGAAACATAAATGACAGTACATTTAGGCAGAGTACTTGCCTTTTGAATCGATCATATGAACAAACATTAAACAAAAGCAATGAAACATCCTCATATCTATTTATAACGAAGTGATGAGGTTTACTTCACAAACCACTACTGTCCTGTCTTTGATTTCGTTTTCATCTTTTGCAGTCAGGTTTTTTTATATTATTAAAACACAAACATGGTGGAGTAACGGTACCAAAAAATGAGCGACACAAAATATAACATGATGAAGCAATTAAAGTGAAGGGAAGTGGACAAATAAAGATAAACACAATTAGAAATGGTTAGAAATGTAGTTCAATAGGATACATTTAAAAGAAAACATACATTACTTTTCAGCAGCAGAAGGCAGAATGGAACTACAGAATTCAGTCGAATTATGAATCTATGGACCAATCTACAAAACTATTTAGAAGAAGCAATTTAGGCAGATGATCTGAAAGCTAGATTAAAATAAATCAAGTCACATTCTCTTAATTACAGCCCTGATAGTCTGAAAAGTTGATGAATACTTAAAAAAGCATACTGATATGAAGTATGACGATTTGGATGGGTATCCCGACAAGCCAACTATGAGGCTAATAATATCTCCTGGCGTGAAGTAAACTACAAAGAAATAGTCACAAAGAGAGCAGTAAGGAATAGTGCGTTAGACTACGAATTAGACTGATATTGATTGTGCGTCTCGACTGATTATGCAGCACACGGTACTGTAACAAAAATAATTGATAGTGCTTTTAAAATAAAAACTCTTTATGCCTCTAGGATCCGAGGTCGATATACTCAGCACATCTATACTACGCTTGACACATTATCGTCCTAGAAGCTTATTTTATCAACTCATAACTTTTTACTTTCACACGAAAAAGGGAATACTGAGTTAGCATTTATTTTCAATTGAAGTTTCGGTGCTAATAAACATTCTCTGGTTATAAAAAGGTCATCAATATGAGCTCATTAGCCCCGATCAGATAATTATCATATAGAATACAGATTTGCGCACAGTATTCAACTGCTACTCATACATGGGACAGATAATGCCGCTTCTTCAGAGATATTACTTCGGGAAGTGGATATTGACAGTCATGACTGAAGAAAGGAATAATCCAGTTACTTTTATCACTGAAATCATCTTTTGAGATCCTGTCAACAATAAGCATTAAACTGGTGTGGTGTATTAGGTAATCATATCTTACTACTAGCTAAGCATAGCTTCCTGCATACGGAAACCAGTGTTGCACAAAGTCAGAACAACCCTAGGATCTTTAGCTGAAAACACTGCTCACTAAGTGGATAGAATGAAATTCAGGATATTTCACTCACAAACGCACTTCCAAATATTATACTACATAAATGTGTATATCTATATATTCCTATCCAATGCATTTATAATAATACGAGGAATTCTGCCGACTAACAATTCTTGGCTTCTACTTGCTTTAATAGTGCAATATTATTGTAACAGATGGCTGTTGCAGTTATCAATCAGGAACAAGGATGCACTGACTCTACTATATAGTAGTATACTTTAAACGGAATCCGTACATCTTAACTCCAATACAACTACCTACTACAAGTGCTACTGATGTTGGCATAATCAGCAGCCTAGCTTATTTTTTACGCAGAAACAAGGTCTTAACAGAGATACGTACAATAAAGAGCAACAACGGCTACTTGACATTCTATCCTCAACACTGAAGACTAGGTACTCTACTTTATTACAGCTTAGATCAGACGAAGACAATGACTTTCAAAAATCAAAACTTACTTCGAGCACTGACAAGAGATAGAAATAATGACAATATTACAGCAATCGCCTTCATTTTAGTGGTAATTAGACCACGCGCTCCAATAAGTTGAATGTACAGTATCCAATGATTACTTTTGGAACTCTAACATTCGAAATCATTAGTACGAGGATAGGAACTAATAATTTTTTGAGGCTTGGTTCCTTTTGATTGGTTAGCTTCTGCAGTGGGTAAGCAAATCTTTTCTGCTTTACTGCTTTGAGCTACCGTGAGAAAGATGCTTGTACAGATTGATAATTTTGATTTATACATTGAGATGGTCGGAAAGCTGCTGGCTTTTTGGAAGATGAGAGTCGTTTTGTGACTGCTGTCTGCATGCGTGCCTGAATGGGAACAACAGGATAGTGGGAAGTGTTACATGGGAGTTACCCGAATCCAATATCCAATATATCCAATATTGATAGTGCGAGCGTAGAAAACTAGTAGTTTTGGATCTCTCGCGTCTAGTTCTTAGGGCTTGGTTCCAGTTGTTCGGTTCACTCCTGCAGTGGACGAGGAAATCCCCTCTGCTTTCTTGCTTTTAGCTTCGGTGAGGTGGATGTTTTGTGGGTTAGTAGGTTGTAATTTGTAGAGTGATTAGGGAGCTACGGGCTGCTGGGAAGTTTAGAGAACAACCGTGACTCCTGTCTGTGTAGGTACCTGAAAGAGAATATTAAGGTAGTGGTAAAGGAATGAAGAGAGAAATAAGGAAGAGTAAAAAATAAATAAATAAATAAATAAAATAAAATAATAAAAAAAATAAAAATAAAAAAAATAAATAAACAAATAAGTGAAATTAAAAATAAAAATAATAGTAATAGTAATGTAGGGAAGAGGAAAGGGAAGGAGAATAAAAGAAGGGGTGAAGAGAGAAATGAGAACGAAAGAAAAGTATTTGGGAATTGCCCGAATGGTCGCGTGGGTTTGGTTCCTACAGAAGAATTAGTAGGTAATGTGGGTGTATTAAGGAGAGAGATAGTGAGTGGTAGTTAGGAGGGAGTTGAGGGGTACTGAGGTTGGTGACTACCTGAGTACGTCCGTGGTAGTCCATGCGAGGTGACATAACTGTCTAATCGCCTCTTGAAAGAGTCGATTGAAGGAGCTATAACGATGTGTCGCGGTAAGGCATTCCATAAAGCACATACTCTCAGGGAGAAAAATTTGGACCTGAGTGTGGTGTTGGCTCTCTGGTGTGCTATCTTAAAGGGGTTTCCTCGTGAAGATCGTTCAGTTGCAGGCAAAATTGATTTGTTTGCATGGTCTGCCTGATGGGCGATCTTGTATGCCATAATGAGGTCACCCCTTTTCCTGAGATAACCCAAGGTAAATAGGTTGAGGTGTTTAAGTCTTTCAAAATACGTCTTTCCCCTTAGCCCCACAACTGATTTTGTTGCAGTTCTTTGTATTCTTTCAAGGAGATTAGAGTCTCTGTTGAGTGTTGAAGGAGCCACCGTATTGAAGACCTCTAGGTGCGGCCGCACGTAGGATTTGAAAATGGTGAGGAAGAGTTCGGGAGTGAGGGCGCCAAGCTGTCTACGCAGAAAGTGTAGAATGGCGTTCGCTCTGGTTGTCATACCTTTGTAGTTGGAGCTGGTGTCCAAGGTGTCGGAGAAGTTGAGCCCCAAATGGTAGAGCTCGTATAAACAAGTTGATCTCCTTGTTCTCACTTCTAGGCCAGATAAAAAGGTTACAGGTACGTCATGAACTCTGAAAGAGTAGATCAAGCTGCCCATCTGCTGTAGCTGCCGTAAACAGAGCACGTCGTTGGGTGTTGGCTGAATTTGTAGAGAAGCACACGATTTGATCCTCAACTTCTGCTACACGTAGGATCTTCAGATTTCGTGTCACCAGGAGGTCGTTTGAAGTGTTCCCAAAGTAAAGAAGAGGAAACCCGGTAGATAACCAAAGAAAGTGAGTGAAATATGGGTGGAAGTAAAAGGAAAATATGATGATTTTGGCGACTTTAGGAAAGAAAGGAAAGAGTTCGGCATCGTGGAGAGTTTCGGTGAATAAGGTTGAATTCGAAAGAGTGTGGCAGAAAGAAAAAGAGGGAGAAAACTATAGCCCGGATGGTGGAAACATATTTGGTAACCATGCTAATAATGGATTATTAGGTGGAGAGGCTAAACGCCAAATAGGATTGTGGAAGGTTGGATCGTGTCCATAATAATGGTGGCTGTGAAAGAGAATCAATGTAAAGATGCCTCGAATCGCTAGACCGGTGTAACACCAATTAGTTGCCACTGTTAAATCCGTGCTGCGATGGCATGGGTGGCATCCATGTGCACAGCTGTCCAAACTTTCCTTAGTGCTAGTGGCAGATGTAGTGATGGCTCCCTCGGCAGGTAGTGCTTCCCAATCGCAACAAACCTAACTAGAGAAAAAGCATGGTTGTACAGGATTTCACGATTCTGTATGGGTCCTCATGAGCATTGCTATAGTGCTGTCTAAACAATGTCCCTCCATTCGGATGATTTGGATTACTAAGTATTTCTTAGGACTTTATCAAATTATTATGTGTCCAACGGGTAACTGAAATACGAGGGGATAGATCCTTTATTCTGTCTCCTCATGGTCTACACTGCATCCTGAGGAAGAAATTCTGTCTGCTATCTTGCATTTATGCCTCCAGTGAGGGATCATGGACATGAGGATTTTGTGATTTCCCAATACTCAGTACGTTTAATGCGAGCAGAGTTGAACTAGCTGGCTCCCTTTCTAAGGACTTCCTGGTGCTGCCGGACAATTTCCTGTTATTTGTAAATACCGGTGTATTGGTAAAAGCCTCCTGCATTTTCCATAGGCCTTCTTCTTTTACCGTATTCTCAGGAGTTGTCATTCAGTTCCCTGAGTCCCTGGAAGCTGCGTGACACGGTTGCAGACGCCACGGTTGATAATCTCTTGCTTGGTCTTTCCACACGTGTCTACTTTGTTAAAGCTATTCAGTTATTTGCCTTGTTTCTATACTTGCTGATGGACATTCTCACTCATGAATCGTTCTGACAAACCATCGGTGTTTTTAAAACATGTGGAGGATGCTCTTTTCCACTCAGTCCCGACCTCTTATTCAGCTGTAGTTGGAAACACAGCTGCGAACCGTGAATATATTGTAAAGGAGTTGAGTTCTCCCTCACACATTAGGTAGGCTGCGCGGCTAAGTGCTTATCGTAGTGATTTACGACAAAGTAAAAGGATAGCGAAACTGATCACTTCGCGTACATCTCATTAACCTATATTTCAACTGTTTCTTATTGTGAAGCATCTCTTTTTCTCATAACTTGGCTTTCCCCGAGTTATTTTTGGTACAAAATTTTAGCGTCTGCCGGAAAAGTGAAATAATTAGGGCTGTCACCTCCATGCATGTTATTCGACCGCTGCGGTTACATGTAAATAAATCTGCAGTTTCATCAGCATTTGACAGTGTCCCACCCACAGTACTGCTTCACAAGATCATGTCAGCTGGTATAAGTGGACCCCTACTCTCTTGGTTCAAGGAGTACCTGGAAGGGAGGCAGTTCTGCACTAAAGTGAACAGAATAAGGTCGGAGTGGAGACCGTCGACGTCAGGAGTATCCCAAGGAGCAATCCTAGGACCGCTTCTGTTCCTCCTCTTTGTCAACGATCTGCCAGACAAAATATCCTCACCCATCCTCCTCTTCGCTGACGACATAAAAATTTGGAGGGTGGTAAACGAAGAAGCCGACTGTGCAGCACTACAAAAGGACTTGCAGCAACTCGAGCTCTGGTCGTCGGAAAATGGTCTGAGCTTCAACTGGAAAAGTGCAAAGTAATGCACATCAGTAAAAATGAGGCAAGTACGACCGACTTCCAGTACATGTTGAGCAACCGTGCTATCACCAGAGTGTCCATGGAGAAAGATTTGGGGCTCAACTTCTCCGACACCTTGGACACCAGCTCCAACTACAAAGGTATGACAACCAGAGCGAACGCCATTCTACACTTTCTGCGTAGACAGCTTGGCGCCCTCACTCCCGAACTCTTCCTCACCATTTTCAAATCCTACGTGCGGCCGCACCTAGAGGTCTTCAATACGGTGGCTCCTCCAACACTCAAGAGAGACTCTAATCTCCTTGAAAGAATACAAAGAACTGCAACAAAATCAGTTGTGGGGCTAAGGGGAAAGACGTATTTTGAAAGACTTAAACACCTCAACCTATTTACCTTGGGTTATCGCAGGAAAAGGGGTGACCTCATTATGGCATACAAGATCGCCCATCAGGCAGACCATGCAAACAAATCAATTTTGCCTGCAACTGAACGATCTTCACGAGGAAACCCCTTTAAGATAGCACACCAGAGAGCCAACACCACACTCAGGTCCAAATTTTTCTCCCTGAGAGTATGTGCTTTATGGAATGCCTTACCGCGACACATCGTTATAGCTCCTTCAATCGACTCTTTCAAGAGGCGATTAGACAGTTATGTCACCTCGCATGGACTACCACGGACGTACTCAGGTAGTCACCAACCTCAGTACCCCTCAACTCCCTCCTAACTACCACTCACTATCTCTCTCCTTAATACACCCACATTACCTACTAATTCTTCTGTAGGAACCAAACCCACGCGACCATTCGGGCAATTCCCAAATACTTTTCTTTCGTTCTCATTTCTCTCTTCACCCCTTCTTTTATTCTCCTTCCCTTTCCTCTTCCCTACATTATTATTACTATTATTTTTATTTTTAATTTTATTTATTTTTTATTTATTTTTTTTATTTTTATTTTTTTTATTATTTTATTTTATTTATTTATTTATTTATTTTTTACTCTTCCTTATTTCTCTCTTCATTCCTTTACCACTACCTTAATATTCTCTTTCAGGTACCTACACAGACAGGAGTCACGGTTGTTCTCTAAACTTCCCAGCAGCCCGTAGCTCCCTAATCACTCTACAAATTACAACCTACTAACCCACAAAACATCCACCTCACCGAAGCTAAAAGCAAGAAAGCAGAGGGGATTTCCTCGTCCACTGCAGGAGTGAACCGAACAACTGGAACCAAGCCCTAAGAACTAGACGCGAGAGATCAAAAACTACTAGTTTTCTACGCTCGCACTATCAATATTGGATATATTGGATATTGGATCATTGTACTTGGCCACGAATCTGTTCGGTAGGCCTGCCAACCAAGCGAGAATGGAATATGGACCTTGGCTATCTACAGGATGTTTTAGTGGCAGTTCCGCCGACAGAGCTACAGCTCTCATACCTCTCTATACATCACAGAATTGGTGAAGGATGCCCGTCGCCTAGCGTTTCATCCTGGAAAATCCTTTTCATTTGTAACCTGTCAGATACTGTTAAGTGACTTATGACGTGCCACTCAATCATTGTATGTGGTTCCTCTAGCAGCGTAGTGAGAAGACTATTGTATACCTCTCTATCGAACTTCGGCAGTATGATATATGGGTCTACATGTAATGATTTTTTCTGTCCCATGGAAAGTCGGTCAAAATTGTGCTGCAGACGCATTAGTTAGAGGCTGGACGTGTTATTATAATGTAGCACCTAACCACCCTAATAAACATGATGTGCTGTAGTACCAACTTAATCAGTAGCTCACGCAGCGCGTGGGCGCTGATGACGAAACATAAATATAAAAGACTAAGTTGTCTGGGAATATGCTTGAGAAACCAACATATTTAAATAGAATGAAGGCGAAAGACATTTCAGAGAAAATATTTCCTCAGCCTAGTTGGCCAATATGGCTGAGCTAGGGAACCTGGGAGTGTGCTTGGCTAATATTCATTTCATTCCAGCTTAATCTATTCAGTTTGACCCTGGGCGTATTTCGGCGCCAGGAACGCGCACAACAAAGTATTCCCCTTATCGGAGGTTTTCGGGACACTGTCACCCTTCTACTTTAGGAGACGGCTGGGAGGTGGACACGCAGCAGTTTTCCGTTTTGGGGATGGACATGGTGACATGCGGTGCTCCAAAGCTAATGAGACTGTTCACACCTACATAGTAACGAAACTCCGCGTGTAGACGTAACCCTTCTCGTAGTGCTCCTAGGCCACCCGAAGCTTTCTTGTGCATTTCCTTCGCGAACTTAAGGCTGCAGAGGGAGATGTACGGGAGGGGATCGCGGCAAGAGGCTGTCGACCTTTCTATTCGGCATGGCCAATGACCAGCTGGCATCCAATAATACGAGTTCTACTGGTCTGAAATGAAGAAAAACAGCTAGTATGAGGTAACAGTTAGTCTGCGTGACACGGACAAGTAAGAGTGATGCAAATAAGATTACGGTTAGAGATATCAGAGCGCCTTTTCTTGCGCACTTCCACTATTTTGCAATCTTCTTCAGCAATTTCAAAACGTTTTCTGCAATGAAAAAAATGGCGAAAGAACTTAGGCGTAGATGTGCATTGAGACCGCTCAGACTTGTTCGGAACTCGTAATCTTGAGTGACCAAAGGAAGAAGTGTGATCGGCATCTAGCCAAGCGAACACGCCGATTGACACGTGTAGATGTTGCTTTGTCACCACTGCCAATGATTATTTCTGTGCAAGAGTCATTGTCTTTGGAAACAAAGGGTATCCCTTCATTATGTATACCAACGGTTGGGCTTAGGCTGCCAATGAAGAGAGGGTTGAATTGCCTTCGATATGAGCTGCCTTGGGGCGGTTGACACTTACGGTATCTTGCTTCCCAGATAGGTCGATGACGAACAACTTCTTTCTGCCAACAACTTTGAAAGATCAGTCAGTGTTTGCGCTGGTTTCCGTGCAGCATCACAAGGCAGGAAGACGTGCACGCAGTCATGAAACCCTTCATCCAACTGTGCCTACGTTTACTGCATTCCTCACTGAGGAGCTCTGGGGTCTGAAAGTTACTCGAGCGTTTTGAAAGATGACCTCAGAACTGTTGAAAAGTCGATGAATAATGACGGACTTCCACCTAAGTTAGGTAAATTTGGGGCAGCGCCTCTTCGAATCCTTGATTTTCAGGTGTGCAGTGATCTTCCTGTGGTACTCACCCCCTTCACGAAACCACAGAGCAGGACTGCATTCAAATCGAGAATCGCAACCTGGACACTAGTTCAAATTATTTGGCAGACGCCTCCTGGGCCAACGGGTCACAATACGTCATGCTTTGCCAACCAGGATGAATAACTCTGAAACTCTTTTAAAGGGTTCACAAGACCTACGTCTAAATCGATTCAAAGCTAAAACACTGGTACATCATGACATTTGAAAAGAAAGGCGAACCTTTTGTGGGAAGCTCAGAGATAAGCATTCATTAGTAAAGTAAGAATAAATCCTACTCCATGTGTAAACCAAATCAACAAGAACAAAACCTGAGAATATACAAACAGAAGCCTGAGATGTATCAATTTTTAATACCGTTACTGGTAGTGTTAAAAGGTTCCCATTTATTGTATTGAAACATCGTAATAATTGTTGAAGCGCTATGTTCATGAGGTACGGTACTTGTTAGCTGCAGAAGGTGTTGGCCTATGGGAGAATTTCTGGGGTAGGTCTATGGCTAAACGTGACATTTGATAGCTCTTGGTGCTTTTCTCTTGACTGTGTTTAGGTCCTACATGTTGAGGCTACCTCATAGTCAGAATGTTAATCGTATTTTTGTGCAGAAGTATTATAAATGTTCATTGCAGAGGTTGAGATAAAACGCGTAAATGAAACAATAGAGTCTTGCCACTTTTTAGTGTCGGCAAGGAGAGGAAAACTTGCCGGTTTGTTTTTTTCTGTTCTAAAAACTGGATCGGAAAAGAATGATATCATATCAAGTAACAGAAGGAATAAATGCGTTAAACCTAAGGAAATTTCAAACGTAACATGAAGTAAACAGATCTGCACCATTGTCACCGATTTCGAATCTTGTCGCGAAGCGTTTTTAACAGTTGATTCTTGGAAACCTGGCTATCTCACCGAAATGGTTTACAACTCACTATGTGGCTCTGATCAATAGTCAGTTTGGATTAAGTTAACGGTAGATTTTACCGTAGGCTATCTAATCACCTACTTAATGCTGCGAGTGTACACCTGATTGTCATAGCCAGCAATTTTAGAGCGTAAGTAGGGGAAGACTTAACGAAGGAGAAAGGCACTTAGGTTATACTTTCTGAATATCAGCTGAGTGGTCTCTTGTCACAACTTTGCTTTGATAATCATCTATTCCTAATCAGTAAGGGTCTTATATGAAGAAAAACATCAGCTTACGTGATTTGAACTTGATGGTGGACATCACAGTACCCATTAACTATCAGGTTTAAGTAGAAGATTGCAGCTCGTTCTAAAGCAAATGCTTAGATCCTGACCTCTCAGTGGTTAGAGCATGTTTTTCGCTCTGCCCCTATGTGGACATATAAAGACTACAAACGGTGAGAGAGCGGGCTATAGTGGGCTTGTGCCAGGGGCACTAGCAGGCAGTGGTCCATATTTATTGGTTAGACTGACTTAAGTATTATGTGGCTCACGGGAACTCAACATAGTTCACTGACTGATCTTATTCGCAAATTATTCCAGTCTTCAAAAGAAGAAAGAAATCCTCTTTTAATAACATCCATGAAGTAAGCTGGATCAAGAAATTTAATGGCCTGAATTTTATATTTATTACATCTCTTAATCGAGACCACGTGCAGAAAACCTGAAGAAACTACTAAGGTTTCGGACTTAGATTTCCTCTTCTTGCTAGATGAAACCCAGATATGTTATTTATATATCTTAACGTGAAATCAGGACTGGTCTGGACTACTACTATATCAAACAATAGGCAGTGAAGTGATTGGACCTGTCAGTTACTCCATTAAACTATGTAGTCGGTTCAGTCCTGGTGATGAACAAGATTTCTGCGCTGATGCAAACGACTCTATTACCCACTGGCAACTTACACCATATGTGGCTTCGGCTAGATGTCCAGCTGCGCAGCAGTTCACTATTCCACTATGTGGCTGTGAAACATGGCCACTGAAGGTAGACACGAAAAGGCTTGAGTTGTTCAACTACCCTTGTATTCGTATCGTAGGCAGTTTGCTATGGAACCATCGCGTGAATAACAGAGGTTAAGCATAAAGTCTTAAGCAAAAGGTATCTGTTATTTCATGAAATCTTAAAATTTCGCTGTGTTTTGGGCGCCCGCCGTATGTTCTTAGTCACTACCTACCCCCTCAAGATTTGGGGTGGAGCTGTGCTCACTAGTTTAGGGAGATGACCTTCAACCTATGGGTCATAGACTCGAGTCTCGCTCCACCTACAGAGGCTTGGACAGTCAAGTAGTATCACTAGTCTTCACACAATAAATATGGCTCACTGCTTGCCGCATGAATGTCTACAAGGTTTCTGAGTTTTCTTAGCTTAAGATGAAATTGATTGGTAAAAGATTATGAGTGGTTAGATTAAAGTACAGATCAATTTTTGAAGTCTGACTATTCGTCTGAAGCGTGTAGGGAAACGTAAACTTCTCGATTGGAATCCGTGTGACAGCCGAAATCGGTGATTGGAGACCTTAGACGGTAAGTCTGGAAATCTATCTCACTGATGCAATTGAATCCACAGAGTTTCATGCTGATCGTCATATTATTTTTCGTCATAGTGTTACCCCCTCCTTTTCTACTCCCTTATACCAATCTACGACTTTCAATTACATTCCCCGCTATCTTTCTCTGCCTTTCAATTTTGACACCTTTTATCTTGATGCTCAGATGTAATGAATTGCGACTTAAACCAGGTTTTATATCGTTTTTAAGTGAATAACTGACTAGCAATTTTGGATGTAAACAAATTAAATTATTAATAGTTGTCTGTGGAAAGCGTTGTTAGTTGATTACTACTTACATTGCTATCCAGACTCTGATCGGCGTTTATTTCAATATGTATGTGTATACATTTAGGTGGATACAGGAAACATGGATTCACAATTATATTTCTAATTTATTTTAAAATGAGATGAAGTCTGTGTTCGAACAGGAAGTAGCTTGGAAAAGTCGTATGTTACCTATCTTCATCCTGATGCATTCTAATAATATATCTGACTTACTACAGAAAGATGGTTAAGATGGTTACTAATCTGTAACCGAAAAAAACAACAAAAGTAAGCGAATTCCTATGGCCTTCATTAAATAATCTAATGCTCCAAGGGAGAATTCAGGGTGTCCCTATCACTATGGTATGAAAAAAGAGCCTAAATATAAATCTTTTTATTGTTTTATTGCTTGTAATCTCCTGTTGCTATACTGGATCTAAAGGCTCGATCTCAGTTGGCAGATGGGCCCTTATGCAGATGCCTCGATACTTTTCAAATACGCATTGTGTTTTATTCTGCTATCCGCCAAGCAGGATAGGCCTCTACATAGGAGCCCATCTGCTAGCTGAGATCGAGCAATCCGAGCTAGTGTAGCAACGGGAGATTACCAGTATCAGAACCATATCTAATACAAGTAGTGGGCTCTCGTGCCCTAGTGGCCTAGTGGATCACGGTTTGATGTTTTAAGCGATGGGTTATGGGTTCAAGTCTCAGTGTGGATAATACCCGCTGGAGTGCAGATGCATCCAGTTGACAAACACGAAATATGACGAAACGCAGTTTCTGGGTTCCACAGGTAGCCAGTAAAGCTGTTTTAGTTTCCATCATCACTATATCAGCATTCAATATTAGTGGACAGTTGCAAAGCTTCATTATTAATAAAATCAGTCCAAAAGAAGAATAGGTCTGTTATCAGTTATTCATCCACAAGTCGATTTTCATTTCATTCCTTTCATCTTGTTTATTATTTAACATTTATTTAGATTTCAGATAATTTTTTACTCGAATTATTAGTTTGGTTTTCAAAGAAAATGGAGGGTGTTCTATTGAAATGGACAAATTATGTTAGTGGTTGGCAACAACGATACTTTATTCTTGATGATGGTGTTCTATCATATTATCGATCAAAAGAAGAGATGAATAGCGGTTGTAAAGGATCAGTTAAATTATCAGTTTGTGATGTAATCGGTAAGTTATTCCCTACTAATAATTTATTCACCTCTTTCAATTCAGTTCATAGTTCTGACCCACGAAGGTTTGATTTAATTCTTGGAGAACAAAGATACTATTTACGTGCTTTATCACGATCTGATCGACAAAGATGGGTTGTAGCACTTGGAAGTTCCAAAGTAGGAAGTGTACCATCAAAATGTGAAGATGTTAATCTATACGGTGAGTATTTTGTCATTGAAATTTAGTTGAACATCATGTAACTTCTAGCATGGAATAATCATGTTCACTATCCAATATGCAGATGTGTTTACCTCTCAAGTTAGCTGGTCGCATTATCCAAATTTGAATTGTAAATGGTAGTCTACTTTCAAAGATAGATAGATAATATCAGCATGGGACCAGATATTACTGTATAACGGTCCAAGTTGCCAAGCCTCATATCACATGTAGTGACAAGCTAATAGGATGAAAGATGAACAAAGGAGGACAAGTCGGTCAAAAGTAGTAAAACAAAGGAAGGGGGAATGAGACAGTGCTGAATTCAATATAATGGCTAAGATAAAGATAATGTGTGGATGCGTCTGTGTCACTGGCAGCGATTCTCAGCCGTATCACCTAGTCTCCAACTACTGGTTCTCTTGTCCCGCGGATCTCAACTGATACGTCACCATTTCGTTGCATAACTGAGATAAACAGTCAAAGACTTCATTAAAGCGATCATGAAACTTTTTGTATTATCATCAGTTTAAAAATTCTGTTGAGTTTGGTCAGATGCCTATGAATAACACAACACCGGGATAACTTTTTCAGGGTGATTTGCTCTGGTGATAAAGTTTTTCATCAAATGTTTAAACTAAGTCAACCGGTTCTGATGCATAACCCATTGTGCACCTTTTCAATTAACTATTCATAATTCCTCATTGGTTTTTTAAAAACTCAGTAACCTTCTGGAAAGCATTTCTTTGCATTCTAAGTTGTCCACCAGGTTGTCGAACACAGGCGCGCTTACCGACACCTGACAATAGCTGTGTTTCTCGATTTGAAGGCACTGTTCGACTTCGTTGGTCGAGAAGTCTTATGGTACTGAGTAAGTACATCACCCTATTAAAGGCTCTTTACTCGAACATCTGTGGACGTGTTAGAGTGTATGGTGGGATATCAGGTGAGTTGTATACGCCGAGTGGTGTCTGTCAAGGATGTCCATCCTCTCCGTTCTTATTTAATTTTATCACAGAGGTTCTACCTCTCGACATCTGACTACATAAGAAAATATTTGGTAGAACTAAAATACGCAGATGACATAGTCTTGTTGGATGAAGACGCGGATAAAACACAGAACCTTGAGTGGGAATTTAAGAATGTTTAGGATGCGTTCCTCGCCACTTAAATGGAAATTGTTGTTCCAGGAATGGTCTTCAACAGTTCCCTGGCCAACAGTAGAGAGTAAAGTCGTTAAGTGCGTTAAAAACTTCATTTACCTGGAAAGTCGGATCAGCCCTGGTGCGTCGATCAGTGACAGACGAAATCTCTTCACTGGTACAGAAGGCTCGGTTGGCTTTCTCCAACTTAAGCCATCTTTGGCGCCACTGCGACACCCGATTGTCTATTAAGGGTCGAGTGTACTGCGCTACGGTCCGTTCTCCCCTACAGTATGGTTGTGAAACATGGCGATTAGTCGTAGAAGAGATGAGAAGGCTTCCAGTGATTGACTACCGCTGCCTTCGTAGCATAGACCGTGTTTCGTTGTGTCACCAGGTGAGTAACGCGCAAGTCAGACGCAGAGTTTTAGGCTGGAGAGGTAAGTCAGTTGATGGGATTGTGAACCTTCATGGACTAAGATGGCTGGTTGGGACATGTGTTAGGTGTGCCTAACCACCGTCTTCCTCCTCGCACAATTTTGTCCAAAGTAGGTTCAGGCTGGGAAAAGGCTCGGGGTGGCCAGACTAAAACATGGCATCAATGTATGGAGTCTTTGACTTTTCGTTTTGAGCCGTATAGGGCGATGCAGACTAGCCAGTTAGGATCCACGGGACAAGAGAAACCAGTGGTTGGAGACTCTAGCTGATGATATGACCCAAAAGTGATCTTACTGGCCACTATACTAAATTCAGCATTTTCTCGTTCTTCCTTCCTCTCTTTTACTACTTTCCACTTCCACTTCTTTTGACCAGTTTTTCTTTCTTTATTCATCTTTCATTTTATTGCCTTCTTAGTTGATGTGCTGATATGACGTGTGGCAACTTAGATTGTTAGTCCCACGTTGGTTTTGATGATGATGATAAGTTGTCCGAAGTACTCAAACGCTATACGTGGAATAACTGTAGGTGAAAGAATATCCGGGTTGTAGAGTTTGACAACAAGCAATAACTTCTGGGCTACTACTAGTTCCTGCATCAAGTGACCTACAGCGTTTAATGGGTGAACAACTATGGGTTGCACCGCGGTGACTGAGCTTGTTCATCTCAGTAGTATTTACTACCAAAGTTAATGACTTGATAAATTTCTGTGTAAAGTATTCTTTAAGGCCATTTGGAACAAAAGAATTTAACGGGATATTAAAAGTCGTTATCCTCAGTGGAGAGTTTTTAGCCAAGCCTAAAAGGTTTTTGGCAGCGAAAATGGGACTTCAAGTGAATGTAGAGAAGATGGAGGTGACGAAGATACCCAACCAACAACATCAACAACAAGCACCAATCACCATAAACGGGAGAAACCTAAAGGAAGTAGTCTCCTTCACCTACCTAGGCAGGGAGCATCGTTTCAACTACAGGCGGCACAGACGAGGATGTCAAAACCACGGTCGGAAAAGCAAAACAGGCTTTCACTAATCTGAAACCAGTGTAGTGATCTTCTACACTCAGCACAAAGAACAAGATCCTGATTTTCAACACTAATTTCAAGTCAGTACTGCTATATGGTTCAGAAAAATGGCGTGTCACGAAAAGCATTTCCAACAAACTACAGGCACTCATCAATAGCTGCCTACGCTGGCTCGATACTGAATATCAGATGAGAAAGCGAGAAAGAATAAGCAACGAGGAACTCTTGGAACGAACTAACCAAGAATCTTTCGCCCAACACATATGCAGAAGAAAGTGGAGATGGATTGGATTGGGCATACACTGAGAAGGTCGACTGGGGACATTATGCGCCAGGCCAGTCCCTCGAGCGGAATCTGAAGACGTAACGACGAGTTGGATGTCCTAGGTGACGGTGAAATGGAGGAGGTCATGTGAGGGAGAAATGAAAGCTTGTGGGCAGTCGTGGAGGGAGGTTCAAAAGACTGCCGAGAACAGAGTGGAATGGAGACGTGCTACTGAAGCCCCCTATGTTCCACTAGGAACCCAAGGAAAAAAAATAATAAATCTGTATAGATTGACAATAGTTCCGATGAGAATAACTGAAATTCTGAACACGTGCATTTTTATTTTGCTTTATTAAGAAGTTAGAGAACCAAAGACACTTTAACTAGTATGTTTTGTAGTTTTTTTTCATAAATAAGTGTGTTTTATGTAATCATTATAGGTTTTGTTGTTGTGACTCGTCGGTTTAAGGAGATGATTATCAAGTAGTGGGGTCAATGGTTTAGGCAACCAGGTAGTAGTAGTGTCACTAGGTGTGTGGGTCTCATTTCCACCTACTTTATGAGTATCCACATGGTTGTGGAGTAAATCTCGATATTTTTTGTTTCACTCTCTGTTCACTTCGTTGTGAGTAGAAATTTCTCTCTAATTTTACCACTGACTAGTATCAAATTTAAGGTTATGATATATTCAATTTCAAGGTTTTTGAGGATTTATTTATGTCGTAAACTGAAAAAAGTATAGAATGTGAACCATTAGATTGCGACCCAGTATCTCAACATTATCGTTTTAGTCGTAAAACCTGAAGGTCCTTGGTTCGATCCTTGGCGGGGGAGGGGGGGTCATCATCATTATCAACATAGGACCAGGCATTACTGCGTAACGGTCCGAGTTGCCACACCTCATATCAGCACATCAAGTAAAAAGGTAGTGAGGCGAAGGATGAAGATAAGTGAATGCAGTCAAAAGAAATATGAAGTATGAGAAGAAAGGAAAGAGGAGTGACAAAATAGTGAGATTCGGTATAGCGTTGTTAAGATGAGGATAATGTGTGTGGGGATACATCTGCGCCACTGACATCGGTTCTCAGCCATGTGATCACCTACAATCAGTTCCCAACCACTGGTTGCTCTTGTCCCACGGACCCCAACCACCTAGTCGGCATCGCCCCACATGACTTAAACCAACAGTCAATGACTTCATGCATTGGTGCCATGTTTTGGTCTGGCCACCTCGTGCCTTTTTCCAGCCTGCACCTACTTCAGCCAACATTGTGTGACTAGGCAATCGGTGACTAGGCATACGTAGTACGTGTCCCAACCATCTCAATCGATGAAGGTTCATAACCTTGTCAACTGATTTACCTCTACTCCCTAACGCTCTACACCTGACTTCTGCATTACTCGTGTGATGACACCACGATACACCATTGCCTATACTAAGAAGGCAACGGTGGTCAAACACTTGAAGCCTTCCCATGTCTTCTAGCTTCAATGACCATGTTTCACAGCCACAGAGTAGAACAGATTGGACTGCTGTGTAGTACACACGATCCTTAGTAGACAATCGGATGTCACAAGCGGCGCCATAGGTGGAGTAAGTTGGCAAAAGCCAACCGAGACTTTTGTATCCGTGCAGAGATTTCATCGGCCACTGAGCTAGCCACCAGGGTTGATCCTATTTCCCAGGTAAGTGAAGTGGTTGACACACTCAACCACTTCACTCTCTATTGTTAGCCGCAGTGGGGCACCACTGAAGACCAACTCTGGAGCAAAAGTTTGCATTTGGGTGGTGAGAACCGCATCCCAAACATTCTCGAATTGCTACTCAAAATGTTCAGAAGACTGCATTTTGTCAGCGTCTTCACCTAAGAGGACTATGTCTTTTGCATATTCTAGGTCTAACGAAAATTCTCCTGTGATTAGGTCAACATCTGTGTAACCTGGTGACGAGAGGGAGACATCCATAAGACCATCTATGATAAAATTGAATAAGAATGGAGAGAGTGGGCACTTTTGACGGACACCACTTGATGAGCATAACTTCCTGAACATCTCACCTATAAGTGTTCGAGTAGAGAGCCGGAAACCCGGTTGTCCCTGGTTTGGTCCAGATTTTCGTTTCACTTCCAATCCA